ACGAGAGGTTTTCCTTGTTGCATTTCCAAGATGATGTTCGCGTGCAATTATTTCGTAACCCGGAATGGCCACGTTTAAACCGCGCTACGTAAGCGCAGCTGTTTCGTTGTTCCACGCGAAACGACGAAATATGCATGTACACATAATACCAGTCTCGTAAATTAACCTAAGTTTATTACCGGCGCGTGTTGCGAGGAAAAGAGGGATCGCCGCTCGCTGCCACAGCTGTGGAGATTGTGATCTGGAATCTAGATCGGCGATCCTTAATCCATGAATCTCTAAAAGCCTACCAGCGAATACAGTATACAGAGTTCACTGACAATCATTCACATTAAAATTGAATTTATTCAAGGCTCCCAATTAAAGAATTGCAATATTCCATCTTTTGCAGATGTACTAATAAATCAGAGGCAAGAGTTGAAAACCCAGATTGTTTCACGAAACATAATCGCAGAACGAGATCGGGAACGTGGCAGTACGACGATAAATAATCGGCTTCTGATTAGCAATGCTAGAGCACTGTCGTGTAGTTAGCGGAGCAACGCGACGGTGTGACTCACGTTTCAGCAATATTTAACATTCCGCGGTGATACGAAAGCAGTTATAGCGCACCAGTCACTTCCTACGCGTCTCCCGCTGTCTACCACCGGTATTATAATATTAAACACACTCGAAAATTGCTTGATAATTATAGACGAATTTCCTGGTTCGAGCATTTAGAAATTGGATGCTTTCATCTTTAACACTGATATTATCGGCGATTCAATTTTGCCTAATTACGGTTACTAAACAATTTTTCATCAATAGAGAACACCTAATAGGCTAATTAGAAACTGTCTTTTAAAAATTCAAACTAAAACCCATATACGGAAGTACGTAATAAGGAAGAGACTTATTCATATTTTTTACATACAAAATAATATACAAATTTTCTGTGCGATTATTCTTGTTGCCTGTTAATTTTATTAACGAATATTTCTTATGCATTTTGTATAATACCGAGCTTATCAGTTGATTACACGCTTATACTCTGATAAATAAAAATCTACTTTCTCTACAGTTTGTAACGCAATTAAACGTAATAAATTTCTTCCATATATCTTTGTTCCACATAATTAAGATGAAGATACTAAAAGGGTATTTACGTCTAGAGAGACGACATTCTTGTCATAGAAATTGTTTCCTTATCCAATACATCATGGTCTACGCTCATTCACTCGATGATGCTGAGCACATTTTCTGCTGGCCGTTGCATAATACGTCATTAACTGCGCTCCTCGAACGTCAATCTTTACGACCTGCGTCAACGTCTTCTTGTACCTCCATCGGTGGAGAATCACCAGACGTCGATAAAAGACGACCGGAGCAGACAGAGAATCTGAATTTATTCCCCAGCAAGTAAAACGCGTTCAATCATTTCGATTGTTTCCCTCTATTTCTTACTTCTTCAATTTAATTTGCCTCTCTTTAGCTTAACTCGTCTTAATTTCCTGATGCGACGCAACCGCACACATACTTCAATTTCATTTTAAAGTTACGCACAAATTGAAGATTTATTAATGCTATGTATGCAACATTATTTCTTCCACCGACGCTAGCATTTTTCTTGGTCACGCGAAGTCATTGTTTGATTTGCAGAGAATTATGCGAACGACACGGGTACGGAAAACGTCTTAAGTAATGACACGCGCTGTTCTCGCTTGTGAACGGAACGACGCGGACAGGCGACGTACAAATTCACGTAAATCGTTGTTCGTAGATGATGCAATGTACAAAACATTATCTCGGATTAACTATGCAGCGCCGTCGGGTCGTCCGCTTAATTACCCTCATCCTTGTACATCATTACGTATTATTTCATAAATCAATCGTTCGACCGAAGCGGCTCCTCGGCTCTCATAAATCTTGATCGACACGAGCCAACGGATACACCGGAAGCGATTTTTTTGTTCAACCAATGATTTGCACGAAACCAATTTGCCTAATCATTACACGAACCTGTGATATTTATCAGGACGAAACAATTTTTCTCCCATTCGTTAAGTTACGACGCGATGTTTCCGCGGCGTTCGAGAGGAGCGAAGGAGGAAAATAAATTAAATCTGAGTATTGGTTGGCGAAAAAACAAGTTGATTGCCGTATTATCGCTTCTTCGTCGGATGAATCGGTCGTTGGGGCCTTTAATAAAACTTGTTTACTGCCTTCACACGTTATTAACCGCACGAATAAATGTCCGTACATCAGCCGCGAAGGTACCTCGCGTTACTGATAACAGTCGTAAATATCACCGTAGATCAGTGCGCGACGTAAGCGCTTGGATGCTGGCGTTATTCGCGGATTATCGTTCATAACTCCTTAGTTATAGTTAACAAATAGCGTAGCAAAATAAGTTTTGGGGAAATATTTACAACAAATATGTGAATTTATATTTTTTTTAATCTCAATTGATAAGTCACATTATATGAAAATCTACTCATATAAGATATTCAACAAGCTTGCAGAATGATGACAAAAACTAGAAATACCGAGATCAGCAAGCTTACAAACGATGATGTTTGGTGAATACGTAAGAATTATCCAAATATTTGTAAATGTACTTATGTGCCTACATGGAATGGACGCGTGCAACCGTACGCATTGGTATTACACGTGGGGGTTTTCACGGGCGTGTGGCCGCGCATCATATGAATGGTGTGGGACAATGCTTCTCTACCATGACCCACTGACATACAAATAAAAGAATAACTCGATATTCGTAGACGTCGCGGTTTTTCTCGTTTAGCAACCAAGTGTCTTTGCACGTCGATTGCGCAACAGTTTCGTCGCAGCTTCGCACGAACGTCGAAATTATCGACGCAAATTATTGAAAAACCATAGACTGCATAAGACACTGGCTGACAGTCGTCTTAATCAACAACGCAGCAAATAACAAAAGTTTATATAATATTTTCATACTGCCTACATCCTTTTTATTATCCTCGTCAAATTGGATTTAAATAATCATGAAATTGTTCTATGAAATCAATTTTATATTGCCATACGACGTTCTATTTTAATGTACTAAACATTTGCAATTAATTCCCATTTTATTACTTTATACTTAATATTATTTTTCATTCATCATCATTTTAGATTTATACTTAATTGTACCTTCCAAGTATTCCACTCACTTTTGACTCTCACTGTGACGCATTTTGTCAGCTGCGTGTCAGTATTGTTTATAATGTTTCGAAACGTGTTTGGGAACGTTGGAATTCGGGGTATTCATACTCGAAAGGATATAAAATATACCGCTATACTTTCACTCATTTCCAGCAGATTTTTTTTTCACGCTAACGTTTCCAAGCCGTTTAACATGAGCTAAACCAGAGAAGATTTCGACACCAATAGACACGTCTTCGAAGAATTTGATTTGCCTATGGACGTCATGCGTTAAGAAATTTTTGAACAAATTCATAAGTCATCGATTCGACATGAATAAAATTTGCATAGGGCACTAATTATGCCAAATGAATCTGGCACACTGGTCCTTAGACTTCTAAGTAATTACATAATGTTTTGATGAGTCGTAAAATTATGTAGAAAGTTATTTATAAGGAAAAAGACGTAATTAAGCTCTCTAAGAATGAATTCCTGTAAACTCAATTCATAATATGAAAGATCAGTTAGAAAAGAACGATCGGACATTAGCTGTCGCTCGTTACGCTTGTGAATACATTAGGGTAAATTGCTTTCAATGTACCGGATATCCGAGATGGGTTTTCATACTTTTCTTTCACTACGGACGTTTCAATACCAGTAAACAATATTCCTTTGTGAAATACAATTCATCAGTTATCAATGTATGATTTATCGAATTTTTAATCTCATGGTAATGAAAAATGGCACATTATTTGTTATCTGAACAAGGAAATACCTTATCTACCCTAAAACAGGAACTCCTGAGAGATAATCAACTAATTTCTGTTTCAACTTCAATAAAATAAAACAGCAACGAATTTGCACATGGCCCACGTCCGAACAATGTTGATATGTATAGCAACATTGCCGTCGATAGCTTTTCACTTTGGCCTCGTTTGCACTACGTTTCGTCGTACTATCTACAGTATCTACAGTTGCGGGATTTGAATTTAAAGTCATTGTCGCTTCGCGCATTGGTATTGACGAAACCTTCGCGTGCGATCGTCCTTCGATTATTTCAACGTGCCGCAATTACATCTCTCAACGACGCGACGCGACGTTCCCAGGAACGTTTAACACCGCCATAAAATGTACGAATTACAATAAAGGAGCGTGCACTTGCAACGTGCATAATCAACTAGGACCAAACGGATGTGTTTCGAAACGAAATTGTGAATTCAAAGTACTCGAAGATCGTAAAATTTGGTCTAACCCTGACACATATCCACCAGGTCCCAAATAAAGTTGAATCTTTATGTTTCAATACTCCTTGACTTATATATTTCACTATAAAGATATCGTTAAGCCTTCTAATAAGACATTAAGATAAGAATACTATAAAATGATTAAAATATCCTAGATATTACTACTTTATTCTTTCTACATCATCTTTAACAGGGTATCGCTGACTCTCGAGAAATAACTAATTTCGTCCCATTATACTGGGTAATTTTTTTTATTAAAACGGGCCACGTTCCACGCGTGCTTCTTTCAGCCACGAAATTGCCGAATCATCGGGTTTATTAAACGTTACACGACCCATCGAAATCATTGAACCCTGAACACGAGCCAAATGCCACGTTGCAGAATATTCTAAATTGCATTAAATTATGTCTTTCAGAAACAGACAGGAAATATCGTCGCTACCACAAAATATCTTCGAATTTAACTAGCGAATTAATTAAAGGAATATGAAGAAGTACAGGTTTCTACATATTATTGCGGTTGACTAGAAACTGTCCCTACGTTATATGAAAAAAAATGATGTCCATATTTTAATAACTAATGGCTTGATTCTCACCGAACGTTTTTATTTTTTTCGCAGATGGCGGGGTTCCGTTTACAAGCTAATCTGGCGGGAACTGTTGGCGTACCTGTTCGTCTACTACGTCATCAATTTTACATATCGATACGCGCTGAACGAGCAACAGCGGGAGTGAGTACATGAATACGTTCATTTCAATATCCTCCTGCGGTGGAGATTCCTACGCGAGTTTCCCGAAGGTCGAAGCCTTAAAAGGTTGGAAATGTTCCTTGAAATTAAGACGTATCGATGAAAATAAAATTAGTCATCCTTTCTTTTCGCGTGATTTTTCGTCTAATTAGTAAAGTGTCATTGATTTTATGACAGAGGACAAAATATCTTTCTTAGCTGCTTTACTTTGTTAAAAGCAGAATAAAGTGAGCGCTGAATGACAATAATTATCTTTCTTCTATTTCTCATTTCCCATTTGCATAATACATTTCATAAATTATTAGTAAAAGTTTTAATAATTTTATTGTAATTCACATTGTTCATATCCACACAATTAATTATTCCTTCCTCACTTTATGCTTTACGACCGTTTTCTCCTTGAACTGAGTTTTGCGGCTACGATAAGCCCTCAAGGAAGCTCGATAATGCGAACGGCTATTAACTGTAGGCATAAAAGTCAGTTTCCATGATTATGACTCGCACTATCTATTAATTTAAAGAGGACTTCGGTCCGTGATCGCCTCGTAGTCGAAGGCGTCTTCTAGCGGTCCCAGGAAGTTTACCCGACGCGGCCGTGGCTCTAAACGTGTCATAACGATCGTCCGTGGAAAATATTGCCCGCGAGGGAAGATATTTCACGTTCCTGTTCCAGATATACCGCAAGTGTATCGCACGCGATTAAATCCCGGATACCGTAAATAAGATTGCTCGTTCTGAGAAAGATGTACCCGTTTGTACAATGCGCCGCGGAATGCGCTTGGAGCTCACCGTCCCGAGGCCGGTATTAAAAAACGTATAAAAATGTAACTTGTTATTTATATCGAAATAAAAAAAAAAATGACAAGGGAAACGAGTGAATAAAGAAGAACCGAGGCGGCTATGGGATGTTAAGAAGGCCCATCCATCCTCCGAACCGCTTCGATTCGCCTGTTCTAAATTTAGAAGCGTAGGGCCCGGCTGGCCGCGCCACGCCGGACTTAGGGCCCGAACAATCATACGATGGATTCGCCTAACGGGAGAATAAAGATCCTCTCGATCGTATATTTCACGGACTTCAAGCTATAAATTTTTCCACTTTAATAGGATTGTTAATATTAATGCTCGGCGATCTAACTCTCCTCGAGATAAACTAAAGTTGATAAAAAAGTGCGTATCACTGTTTCTTATATACTATCTTGTCTTTCGTTTACTACCCTTCCAGATATAATACACGAGTAAATTTCGATGGGGTATTAATCACAAATGAACGTAAATCTATAAAAGGATATTAACCCCAAAATACAAATTAGGATCTTTCACAGCTTATTCATTCATCCATCTTATCAATTTTTCAAACATAAAGCAAAAATCAAATATCAGCAAATCCTACATAGCACATTCACAATTGACCATGGAATCTCCGACATAGATTGATTTGAGAATTAATTTAAGAGATTTAAGGTAGATATTAAATCTTAATGGAAATTAAACGACGGGGTACTAATCACGAATTAATGAATGTAAATCTATAAAGGAACATTAACCCCAAGATACACATTAGGATCTCTCACAGCTCATTCACCCATCTCATCAATGTTTGAAAATATATACCTATAGCAAAAGTTAAATATCAGCAAACCCTAATGTGCACATTCACAATTGACCATGGAATCTCTGACACAGATTGACTTGAGAATTAATTTCAAAGATTTAAGATAGATATTAAATCTTAATGGAAATTAAACGACTCGGTATTAATCACGAATATTAATAATGAACGTAAATCTATAAAGATACAAATTAGGATCTTTCACAGATTATCCATTCACCATATTTTAAGAGATTTAAGACAAATATGAAATCTTAGTGGAATAACTAAGTATTTAAACGTTAACGATACGTAAAACAGGCAGTGGTGTTTCTCGCCAAGTGACGGTATCACCTCAACCTTGCTCTACTTATAGTCGAGTCATTGCGAGAATTCTACGCATGATACACTCACAACTAAATATATGTATATTTCAAACGCGAACTTATAACAAATTGCAGTGCAAAAATAGAACTCTTATTTACAACATAATTTCTTATATACAAATAATCTGGAAATGATGATAATTTTGTTTTTCCTTTTCTTATATGTAAAACTACTGGAAGGAGTAATAATTTAAAATAGATACCAGTATTTCCTAAACGAATGAACTTCCATATTCGATTACAAATATTATTCCTCCACTACATTTCCAAATTGTATTACTACTTAGCCAACTCGAAGTATTATTGTAACTAAAGACCATTTGGTAGAAGAAATAATCCAAAGGTACGTTCAATAAAGATTTGTTACGTTGTTTGTTACAGAATATTCGAAAAGATCCGATATTATTTCGGGAACTCCAGTGAATCGATACCGATGTCGTTCGTTCTGGGATTTTACGTGAGTCTGGTTGTGAAACGATGGTGGGAGCAATACAAATTATTACCCTGGCCGGACAACTTGGCTCTATTTATCAGCGCAGCTATTCCCGGTAACGTAAGTACAGAGATCAGAAGAATGTTATAACTAAACGTACAAATATTATACCATCTACTATGACATAACGGGAAACGTCCAAAGTTGAATGTGACGAGTAAAGAAGTCTTAAATATACATATTCACAAGGATTGGTCACATAAAAAGAATTACTATTGAAATACACACATCAATATTCTAGCAAGCTGATATTCAACAGTATATGTCCAGTTGACACGTGTAGTGAATAGACTAACTTTTCAATGCTTCAAGTTTTATTCTCGTCATTCAAATAGCGTGACAATAATAGTATGAAATTTATTTATTCTCCTTATCTTCATGAACAATTTTTCAATTCATTATCACAATTCGAAAAACACTTAGAGTATGAAAAGTGTCTTTAGAATATATTAGCCTCTGCCTAATACAAGATCAAACTATTATTTTAAACTGTGGGTCTCCTTTACAGACTTTGCAATAATCGAGTCAGCTCAAAAGAGCGCAGACGATAAGCGTAGACATCCTTGCATAGCAGCAGCGGTCGCTGCGTTTGTCTCATTACGCTAATGAATTGCCGTGACACGTTTCGGTGTCGTTAACCCAAGTAGGTGCCAGAGCTCTCGGAGTCACGCCACGCCCAAGAGCGAAAAAAATGCGTAAACCGATCATCCCATAATTGGCAGACGAGCGAATCTTCCCGCTCCTATTACGTCTGTCTAACGGACAGTCGGATCGTGATGGACTCGGTCGTTCGGGGTCGAGGACTCGATTCGAACTTCTGACACGAGTGCGCGAGAACATAAATCCCCATCCATTATCGTTACTTTCTCCGATCGATTCGTCCGAACCGATAACGAAAGTTCGCTTCTACGTACCGGGGGGTCACTCCGAAATGCGATTCGTCACTGTCGTATTACTTAACAGTTATCTAACGACGTTTCTACTCGCCCCGGCGCGGTAGATATTTTCAAAATCGGTTCGACGAAACCGAAGGGAGAGCTTCGAATTCGTCGGAACGATCCTTCAGCTGTGTGGTCAATGACACGTCGTCGAAGTGAAAGTGCAACGTGTATCGTGGCGAGAAAGAAGGACGAACCTACGCGTTGTGCACACCCGCGGTCTGCATCGCCGCCGTTAACGCTCCGTAAAATCCGAACGGATATATCACCTGAACCTAGTGAACGAGCTAGCTGTAAACCAAGCAAGACGATCGCTACCGGTATTGCATAGCGGAGCGATTAAACGTAACGCTTGCAGTGAGAGTTAGACGTAAAATATATACCTTTAAATAATATACAGAATTTGTCCGATTTTATTGAGCATGAATTCTATGTACCTCATCTTGTATATACGCCGAAGAAATATTATATCAATTTTCTCGCATAAAATATTAGAATAGTCAGATAATGGATTCAATGATGAAAAAGATTTTAATGTACCGATTAAAGAGTCGATCGCGTAGCCAAGTATTTGCTTCCTTGTGCTTCTTCCCATAACATACTACTCTCCAGTCGCGTTCTCTTCGTTACGTGCTTCGAACGTTAGGTTTCGACTGTGAAACAGCAATTACACGCGCCCATTTGACAAGCATAATACGGTCGAAGGTTCTGATTTTCATGTCCCGGGCGAGAAAGTTGCACGTGGATAGTTCGAACGTATGAAACAATAGCGTCCGCGCGAATTTCTGCACGCGGCGTGAGACAAGGTCTCCAGGTAAAGGAACGGGACCGTATATATGTATGTAGTTTTCTAGGTATGCATATGTATGTACATTGCAGAGAGTCCGCGGTTGTCGTGTAGTCACGTAACGCGAACTATCGGATTTGTGAATGAGCAGCTAAGAGAGTGGGCAGCACGAGCTTCTGGGCTGTGCCTTTCATTGAAATCTAATTGGAATTCAGGGCCCGAGGTGAGGAGGATGCCTTGACTTCCACCTTCTCCCTCGCGAGGATCCTTTCCAAACTGCTAATCGTGCATTCTTACACGCGCGACGATGTGAACTCGCGGTACTGCAAAGAGGAGATGCTCTGAGCAGGCAAAATTGGAAAAAGAGAGAACTGGACTTCATTATGAGAACAAGAAACCAATAAGATTCTTCATTACTATTATTCGATAAGTAATTGCATCTGAATTTATTTAAAGATATATTTTATATTAGATCTGAATCAAGAAATGATTAAATACAAAGATTTAATAAATGTGGATGTTAGAAGATATAATTTAAAAATTTTTCGGTTGCGAAGAACCCGTACGAAAAATGTGTTGAAAAGCGAGTTTCAAATGCCTGAACAGATAGACTGAGCGTAGCATCGCTCCGGGCGAAGAATGCGAAGAACCCGTACGAAGGTGAAACTAATTAGTCTATAACTGTGAATCGTTGAAGAAAGGAGACTCGTAGCGTAACCCCATTTTTTCGCCTATTCGTACAAGCGACACCAAAAGACGTTGAGAACGAGGATAGTCTTAAAAAGTGAATTTCTTATTACACTAGTATAGTCATGTACAAAATCTTATAGGTTTCAAGTATTGAAGACGTTCAAATGTTTTAGATATTCATTCATTAAATTTTCTTAATTGCACATTGTTCAAAGCGTTCGTTTCACGATATAATTAAAAATCGTTACGAAGAGTTTTGTTGATTGTGCATTTAATCGTACACCAACATGTAACTATATTTCGTAAATCCTAAGAAAGTGTAATTCGAGCGTTAAAAGTGCAAATGAGCTAATGTCGTAACTTTAGGCGGAACACGCTATGTAGCGGTAATTAATTAATCAATAGCGAACCTACCGTTTCCTCTTACAATAGAATGCCAAGACACGGTTCACGGCATTCAACTTTCTTCGTTCAAATTATGGTTCGGATCATTATCAATTAGCACATACAGTGAGAGTAAAGGATGATCATGTATAGATCAGAAACATAACTATTACAGTTTGTATATAATCAAAATATATCTATTTGCATAAACATTTGAATTATTTGATGTTAATTATTGTAGCTGAATACTTGATTTGTGCAATATACAAAGTTTGCTGAATAAATAAATTATTATTATTATATAAAGTTTGCTGAATTAACGTAAGTCTCTTTACTCTCACTATACGCCCACGTGTTATTAGCCTCGAAAAAATTTTGGTTTCGACAAACTTTCTTCAGTGGTTGCATACATTATATCGAAAGGATAAGACGTGCCTCGATCTACAAAACGCTTCATCTGAATCTCGTCGTGCTCTACATACGTAACGAATCGCTCGGCTAGTCAATTAACGATTACCGACACGATTACCAACACCGATTGGCAACGAGTCACCGCGGCTACGCGAGAAGACCGATCGTATCGCGTCACGAAAACCGTTTAACGGTGACAATTGCTTTTTTTTTCTTCCATCGCGCGTGGAAATTTTCCGATCCAGGAATCGTTGGCTACCGATTTCCGAGCTCGAATTGACATTCGGAGTGCAGACTGCGAACGATCGTTCACCGTTGCGGCCGTTGATTACAAAACGAGCAGCCGATTATAAAATGCACGCGCGTCGTAGGCCAGAAACGAAAGGAAAAATAGCCGGCAGGCGCCACCGTGGAGTTTTTCTCCTATTAATATTGGAATCGGCACGAAATTGGCGAGGATTCGCGACCACGGGCCAAGAGAATCAGGGGAAAGTGTGTACAAGGCATTGGGAACGTGTCCAGCATTCGGTGCAATCGGAAACGAATTCTGATGATATCGACTTCTTTCTAATTCCCTGCTGCTGATTTCCTTAATCTGTGTACATTGAAAATTTAACACAACGATTCATATTTGTATCTTTCTCAAAATATTTTGTAATACAATTAGTGAACCCACGAGTAGATTGTTAACGTTAAGCAAGATTAAAAATTTTGTATTTAAGATGCTAATACTCTTGCTACTGACTGTATATATGATGAACATATAGAAAGCTTTTCTTCGGGATGATAATTTTGAAACGTTTTCACATTGCAGGATGAGAGAGGCAGGCTGATGAGGAGAAACATCGTAAGATACGCGGTTCTCGCGTACGTCATCACTCTGCAGAGGATTTCGTTACGAGTAAAGAGACGATTCCCAACGCTTCAGCACATCGTAGATGTTGGTAAGTGAATTACTACTCAGATTTTTTCCTATTTTTTATCATGGACCTTAATTATCGTCACGTGACGAGAGAAAAAGTCTAAGCGACTAAACGATCTCGTTCCACAAGTTACGAGTTATTTACGAACTTGATCAAGAGTTACGGAAGTGTTATGTTAAGGAAGTTAATATGTAAAACGTTTCCTGTCGAATCCGTAAATATCGTCGGAAACACACACAAGCGACGAAATCTATAATCCACCTAAGGCTGTTTTTTTAACAGTTATAACATTTGACTCCATAGTTACGTAAAATTATTTCTGACACGCTTCATTAAATTGCTTCGCTTTCTACGTGAAGGATTTTATCTCATTTGTTGCTAAACGTTTTAATCACATTTGCATCAACTCATCGACTGTCAGCTAAACGGATACGATTGACGAAGATCGATGAATGATAATTTTTAATCCGGTAAGCGGATTAGGAGATTTTTGCGAAATACTGTTTGGAAGCAATAAAGTTTGTTATGTTTCCTTCCCGACTATCGCCATTTCAAGGACTTATCGCCAATTAACTCGCATGCCAGTTCCTACACAATTAAGCGCTGCTTATGGTAACAAGGCCGATTTAACGACAGATGCGCGCGAATCCTTTCCAAAACGAGAGGACCCCGAAGATTTTTGACAATCCATAAGGAATCCCAATTAAGCATCGATAAGCAATTCGTATGGATCCATTGTATGATAAACGGTGCTGCATTTGCAATACGGAACCGTTATTCAATCGAAATTTAGATATGTGTCATATATAACCTTCAAACGATTGCCTAGTTTTACAGCACGTGTCAAGATGCTAATGCCATTATTACTACAACTCTCAGATGTTATTTTGGCACTTTCCTTCAATATTTGAGAATGGCAAAAGAAAGTATTGTTAACGTTCAGTCCTTGTTACCAAAGAAATAAGACAAAAATGAAATTTCACATGCCAATTACAAAATTTCAAAGCTCCATCATGCAAGCTATCGTAAAATTGAACTACTTACTCTTGATGCTCGTTGACACTCGATCTTAGCCACTGACTGTATATATGATGAACATATAGAAAGCTTTTCTTCGGGATGATAATTTTGAAACGTTTTCACATTGCAGGATGAGAGAGGCAGGCTGATGAGGAGAAACATCGTAAGATACGCGGTTCTCGCGTACGTCATCACTCTGCAGAGGATTTCGTTACGAGTAAAGAGACGATTCCCAACGCTTCAGCACATCGTAGATGTTGGTAAGTGAATTACTACTCAGATTTTTTCCTATTTTTTATCATGGACCTTAATTATCGTCACGTGACGAGAGAAAAAGTCTAAGCGACTAAACGATCTCGTTCCACAAGTTACGAGTTATTTACGAACTTGATCAAGAGTTACGGAAGTGTTATGTTAAGGAAGTTAATATGTAAAACGTTTCCTGTCGAATCCGTAAATATCGTCGGAAACACACACAAGCGACGAAATCTATAATCCACCTAAGGCTGTTTTTTTAACAGTTATAACATTTGACTCCATAGTTACGTAAAATTATTTCTGACACGCTTCATTAAATTGCTTCGCTTTCTACGTGAAGGATTTTATCTCATTTGTTGCTAAACGTTTTAATCACATTTGCATCAACTCATCGACTGTCAGCTAAACGGATACGATTGACGAAGATCGATGAATGATAATTTTTAATCCGGTAAGCGGATTAGGAGATTTTTGCGAAATACTGTTTGGAAGCAATAAAGTTTGTTATGTTTCCTTCCCGACTATCGCCATTTCAAGGACTTATCGCCAATTAACTCGCATGCCAGTTCCTACACAATTAAGCGCTGCTTATGGTAACAAGGCCGATTTAACGACAGATGCGCGCGAATCCTTTCCAAAACGAGAGGACCCCGAAGATTTTTGACAATCCATAAGGAATCCCAATTAAGCATCGATAAGCAATTCGTATGGATCCATTGTATGATAAACGGTGCTGCATTTGCAATACGGAACCGTTATTCAATCGAAATTTAGATATGTGTCATATATAACCTTCAAACGATTGCCTAGTTTTACAGCACGTGTCAAGATGCTAATGCCATTATTACTACAACTCTCAGATGTTATTTTGGCACTTTCCTTCAATATTTGAGAATGGCAAAAGAAAGTATTGTTAACGTTCAGTCCTTGTTACCAAAGAAATAAGACAAAAATGAAATTTCACATGCCAATTACAAAATTTCAAAGCTCCATCATGCAAGCTATCGTAAAATTGAACTACTTACTCTTGATGCTCGTTGACACTCGATCTTAGCCATCGTCTACTGCACGATTTCGTGAATAATGGGAAGTCAGGTTGTGTTAACAGCTGAAGAAGAATATTATAATTACACACATTGTCTTTGATACATTTTATTTCTCGCGTGTTCTTTGTTTGTTATATGAAATCACATTTACCTGCTCGTTGTATGTATATAAAAAATTATCCATTCTTTGATGATCACTTGTTGAGTCGCAAACACGTACACGGTACACACTTTGGTTAGAGTTAAATACACTGATAATTCGAAAATTACTGGAAGCTAATGTGTTTCCTTATACAGTGATGCTTCACGAAAGGAAATTACTCGAAATATTACGAGAACTTAGTAGAGAAACACAAAAATATCACATTCTATCGGCTAAAACAAAAGACGTATGACGCACATTCATACACAATCCGCCATATTGTTTAACTACCGGCAAGGATGCGTGCGCAACTGCATACAATTCTGCGGACTACAATAATGAGCGCCGTTTACGAATTCGTATTTAAAATCGTAATTAAATTGTTTCATGAATATAATCGTTCTCTGTGCACATAAAATGCATCTATTTTTTTACAACCAAACTACAATGAAGTTTTAATTTTCATATAAAAGAAACACAACCAATTAAATTAAAATACTGTGAAATAGAATTTTATGAAAAATTCGAATCACTTCCATGGAATCTGTGACAATTTCCACAATTGTATTTACTGTCGCATGTGTCGAGGAGGCAGGCAGGAAGAAATCCCGTTTCTCGGGATGCAAGAGAAAGACGCGAATCCCTGCGGGCTTTTTGTCAATCGGCGAGGATGAGCACGTCGACTAGAAATAGCACGCATTTTTCAGGCGCCGATTCCGCGAATCTTCCATGAACATGAGGCACGCCGCCCTGTCGACTATAGCCGGAGAAAGAAGTGACGGGATCGGCCGTAAGAAACGATCTTTCCGCGGAATTATCTCCGCTGGAACACGTGAACATGTTAGCGTCACGCACGTCGGGTCGCGAAGGGAACACGCGCACGGGATCGTCGATCGGCCAAAGAAGACGATCCAAATCTGTTCCACGGCGAACCTGTCTCTCGCGAACAACAAAACATCTGCGGATCGTTGCGCGAGATCCCCATCAATAATTCATGCAGCGAGAATGCAACGCCGCGCCGCCGTTCCGTTTACAGAGGGAAAAAATAAGCGACGATATTTCAAACAGGAATGGAAGTCGATATGGACGCTTGATACCGGGCGTACCGGTTAGTAACACCCGGATTTAATTGCGATTTTGCGATGTTACGTCCTCTCGAGGGGTTACGTCGATGTTTATGGTCGCGTAAATAAAACATAGCGCCCAGCCATGATCTTGAGGAACGAGGAACTGGAAGGACATTGGACTTTCTATAACCTTCTGGAGAACCGTATCTCTTTTCTCGGTTGTTTTTTTAACGATATGTTAATATTGCTATGACGTTGAACAACCATCGCACACGTTGTGTATTTCTTGCTTAATTCTATAGTTTGTAAAAATCTCTGCACAAACGTCGTTTGGAAATAAATGGTGTTTAATGAAGACGTATGGAAACCTAGGAAGGTTACTTGCCATTTTATAGAGGAGCACGAAATATTGCAGCGTTCTATTTATAACTCTCGGTGCTGTTTTAGTGAAAATGCATTGAAGGAAAGACAATCGGATTCTCTCGTACGCATGAGTATTCTATGCGTAACAGCAGTAAAACGTGCACACTGAGCTGATTTTAGAGCGGTTAATTTGCAAACGATTCTATTTACCAGTCGCATCGCGACGAGACCGTTATGGTCGTTGATTCTCGCAGAACCATGCGAAAGACGCGGATGCAAATCCCCGTTGACACGGAATCTGGTGTCGGCGAAAAATATTTCTAAAGAATCCCCGATTCTCATTAGCGCAGCCACCAGTATCGCTAATTCTCTGTGTTGTCAAAAAAAAAAAACCCAGTCGCTAATTTTCCCAGGAACGAGGGACTCTTGTTTAATTTTAGCATGTTACGTTACTGATGGCTACTGATAAAGGAAAACGTGCAAGTCTTGGCGTCAGCGACTGTCAGAACTGTAAAGAGTTCTACGAAAATCTCTATCAAAAAAACCACGGTGGTTTTACATACTTAAATATTCAATGACTGTGCTATTCACTTGCATAGCGTCTAATAGCACTTTTACTTTTTCATAGGAAATTGTCCGTAATATGAATAAAATATCATTATAATAAAAATGTATCTAACTAATAAACAAGAATTTTTATCAAAATACCTTTTAGTGACGTATATCAATGTTTACTCGAGGCTATTCAAACGAAATATATTGCATATAAATCAATTCTCGTACTTACACGGTAGATGCTTTTTAAATAAAATTGAGAATCGATGATTTTCAACTTGACCCACTGTATATACCAATTCCGTGATCTGGAAATGTCGGTGTTAGGAGATTCTCGAGAGCTAGGTCGGCGACGTAAATCGAACAGCTCGGCTCGCGCCGCCAGGCAATTTTCACGTGCGTCCGGGTAATTTTCAAGAAGCGAGTCAAGACCGCTTAGAAACGCGGAGCGCCGGCGCCAGTTCCTCATCCTTTTCCTTTTCCCTCATGCCTGACGGTCGTTTTGCTCGCGGTAGGAAACCGACGACGCGACCAGACCAGCACCATGTAGTTTACCATCTATTCCCAGAG